GGAGTCTGCTTCTCCCTCTGACCTTCCCCCGTCTCATGTACTCTCTCTCTCTCATTCTCTCTCTCAAATAAATAAATAAAATTAAAAAAAAAATAAAATCCATCCTGGAGTAAAATACTAATTTTAAGGGAGAGGCACCAAAATATCCTTAAAAGGAGTTTCTTTCTTGGACTGCCAGCATCATTACTGTAATGTGGAATTTTGCCAGTGGTCTCGCATTTCATTAAACAAGCCTTGGGAAAATTCTCATTACAATTAAATGACCACATCTTGGAGTCAGTGATGTTTGTTTTTCCAATTTTCATGCATTGGCTTGTTCCCACTACTATTTACAAATTATGTTGTCTTAAGCAAATAAATCCATTAAAAGTGTACAAAGATTAATCTGGAAATAAACCAGTTTCTTTTTACCACAACATACCACTAACAAAAAAAGCGCTAACAAATTTCTTAAGCCCTCTTGGCTTTTCATAGAACCAATGTGTAAAGGACACTACATCCCAGCAGCTTTAGTGAAACATTTTTTGTCACTACTTGGGCCAGGCTCGTGGTTAAAATGGGCAGTAGAAACAAGAGAAATCTATCCCACCGTTACCCACACTCGTACCTTTCTCTTTCCACTAGTGAAAAGGTATGTGTATTTTAGGTGCTAGTACCACACACCAGCAAGCCTAATACTTTCAGCAAAGTAAAGCAAAACCTCTTCAGCAGTTAGATTAACTATCAAAGCCGTTACAACTCACGCTGAAAAACTGGCTGGCTCTTAAGCGTCTTTGGGGTTAAATCTGAAGACATTTTGTCAGGATTATTTGGAGCTCCAGCTCCCCGGGCAGCGGCAGGCGCACGGCCGTCTGGATCTCCCGGGACGTGATGGTCGAGCGCTTGTTGTAATGCGCCAGGCGGGACGCCTCGCCCGCGATGCGCTCGAAGATGTCGTTGACGAACGAGTTCATGATGCCCATGGCCTTGGACGAGATGCCGGTGTCGGGGTGCACCTGCTTCAGCACCTTGTACACGTACACCGAGTAGCTCTCCTTGCGGCTGCGCTTGCGCTTCTTGCCGTCCTTCTGCGCCTTGGTCACCGCCTTCTTGGAGCCCTTCTTCGGGGATAGGAACAGACTTCCGTGACTCTGGCATGATGAACAAAAACTATGATTCTCGGATAAGAAATGTGCCCTGGTTGCAACGCTCATAATATTTGATGGCTC